ATAGAATCTAGTTCTTGTGAAGCAGGGTGTATTTAATAAATGTATTTCCACGTTAAAGTAGCCTGTCTTTGGAATGTCACATGCATGAAATTGTAATATATTTTAGGCCTAAATCTACCATAATACAAACTCATTTATTTATTTTAAAATAAACTAAAATGAAAACATATCACAACGATATCTAGTGTACACTTCAGAATATTTTAACCATAACCTTCACAGAAAATACAAGAATTGAAAATATGCCGCGTCTTCCATGTAGGGAGAAACTTCTACATGCCACAAATGTAAGTTTATCGTAAAGTTAAGTTGAAACATGTAAATTCTCGTTTTGTACTCACAACAAGAAAATAGCAAAATATCGCATCAAAAATATAAGTAAACTCCTGTTTTCTTCACCGAAAATATAACGTAAGACACGTCTGAAAGTGTGTATCGTATTCAGCTACTGGACACCCTGCGCCTCCTTCTTGAAAAAGAAAGAACACCAGACATCCATCTAAAGAGAGCTCACCAAGAGGAGAGATTCTTATGTTTACTGTTATTATGATTTATTGGAAGAAGGAGGATAGTTGATCATTTAAATAGAAAAATAGAGTGATATTTTGTCAGGGATTCCCTCTCCAGGAGGAACACTTTTGTACGTGTTATTTTACCTGTTACGCGCTGTTTGGGAGGAGTAATACAATATATAAGATATGCGATATACAGGGTGTAAATGAAATATGTGGACAAATTTTGGGCATGAGTTCCACATACCAGAACAAAAAAAAAACTCCGTGGTTTTAGTCCGCAAGCGAACTATACCGACTGAGCGACCGCCATTTGTCGATGAAGTTAGTGCCAACTTTAGCGGATAGGGGGTGTCGCGTGGTCAGCGCAACAAATCCCCACGGCCGTTAATTTCGGTTTTCTAGACCGGAGCCGCTATTTTCTTGAAATAGCTGCTCAGTTTTCATCATGAGGCTGAGTGGACCCCGTTCCAGACCCACTACTTCTCAGAAAAGAAAAAATTGGTAGCGCCGAGAATCGAACCCGGACATCTGGATCTGTAACCAGGAACTCTAACTTTAACTCTAAAAAATAATCCATAAAAACATGTGTCCGAAAATATTTAGTTTGTGAGTTACAGCTGAAGGAATAGTGCACATGCGCGATGGTGCTCCGGCATATTTTAGCCGTGCTGAGAGAGATGTTCTCAGTAAAAGCCATTATGACCGACGGGTAGTTAGCGGAGGGACACTGCGTGGCCTCCACGCTTGCCAAATTTGAATCCTCTGGATCGTTACCTATGAGGACATCTAAAACCCTTTTGTCTGCAGCTCCTGTTGACAGCGAAGCAGTTCACCATCGCATTGCGCATGCCTATCAGGCTATCCGCGACTACCCTGACGTTATTGAACAGATAATGAAACGTGTCGAGACGTGCATTGAATCTCATGGAGAACATTTTGTGCACTTCTTATAAATGTACTCTTTCAGCCATAATTCGCGAATCAAATGTCTCCGGACAGATGTTGGTACGGACAGTATTTTCTTCTTTGGTATGTGGAACTCGTACTAGAATTTTATCAACGCCTTTCAGCTACATCCTGTATGTAGTCTACGGGATGTGCCCGTGAACAGAAATCTGCACTGTAATTTCAGGAACTGTTTTTATTGTACCTGGTGGGTACTTACATCTAGCATTTGCATATTCATAGGCTCACACACTCGTCGCTTCAGTAATCTGCAGAACACAATTCATGTAGGGCAGGCCGTATAAAGAAAATTACTCTAAAGCACTAAAATTATCTGTATTGAAATTTCCTACAAATATATCTCTAGATAGAGTTTAACACTACTCACAACTACTTGAACACAAATAAGTTAAAAAAATAAATATGTAATCATAAAAAATAAAAAAAAAATAAAGTTGTTCCTGTGCTTAACTAATTAAGCACGACGCCATTAAGGTATATAGGGGAGAGGATGTATAGATCCACATTTTCTTGACCTCAGTGCTAGATAGAGGTGAGTGGTCAGCTTCACGTCCCGGCAGCTTTACCCCCGGAGAAAGAGCCCCCGTACCCATTGGATAGGTTTGGTTGACCCCAGAGCTGGTCTGGACAACATGGAGAAGAGAAAAATTTTGACATTACCGGGACTCGAACCCTAGCCCGTAGCCTATCTATATCACGCCATATTCCAGAGCAAGCTTGTTTCGATACTATTTTCCAGTGGTTATTACAGGAAATAAAGAAGTTCGCATGCCGGTTCCCGTAATGATAGCAATGCTCTCCCAGTGGGGATAGTGGTTGGGGCAAACACTCATATACGCTCAACCCCCCCCCCATTAGGCAAAATTAATGATTTTTTTCAGGGTTGGTTCTCCAAGACAAATTTATCTGTCGTACAAACTTTTACACAGCCCGAAATAAGGGAAAACGAGGTGGAGCGGATGGACGGACAGACTGACAGACGGGCACATGGCTAATATATACGTATATGAGTGGCAGTCAAATGAAAATGGGTCAGAAGCCAAAACATATTAAAGAACATTTCTTACTTCAAAAGTAATCTCCAAACCTGTTAATACATTTATCCTACTGGGAGATAAGACGGTCAATCCCATCCTTGAAAAAGCTTGTGGGCNTCGAGAAATTCGACAAGCAAAGGGCCCTTGCAGTCGAAGAACGTCATCACTTTACCGGAACTTGTGTGTACGGCTTTGGATTTCTTCGGTGGGGGAGAATTCACGTGTTTCCACTGTTGGCTCTGCCATTTGCTCTTGGGTTCAAAATGGTGGCACCAAGTTTCGTTCCCAGTGGCAATACGGGACAGAAAAGCATACTCTTCCCCATGGTATCGTTGCAAGTGACCCAGTGATGCAGCCATTCACTGAGTCTTCTGTTCCTCCGTTAGTTGATGCGGAACCCACTGCGAGCAGATTATTCCCATCAAAAGACTAATTTCTTCCACAGTGATCCGTCGGTTTGCCCGGATATGACCATCCAACGCAACAATAACATCAGGAGTGATGACACGGAGCCTGTCCTGGGAGAGCACCATCTTGCAGTGACACACGTCCCTCTCGGAATCTCTTATGCCACGCCAGCACACACGAACGTGGCCTGCTGTGTTCGCCGTAAATAACAGACATGCGACGATGAATTTCTCGTCCTCCTTCAGCAGTCAAAAAGCGCATTACACTTCGCTGTTCTTCTTTACCCGCCTCCATTACTGATGCTGGACGACCACACGTAGCGCTAACCTTACTTACAGCACAATAAACAAACGACTAGGGTGCAAGGGTACGTTGACATTGTGCTTTCCCGAGTCCCCAGCAGATGTTCGTACCGTAAGCAAATTCTAGTTTTACCAACTTGCGCGCCGTGTGAGTTATGCGTGGTGACCAATTTTCATTTGACTGCCCCGTATGGGGCACGCAGTAGCGTAGTTGGTTGAGGCACTATGCGACAAGCCGGAAGGTCGCGGGTTCAAGTCCCGATGAGGTCATTGGATTTTTTCAATTGACCTAATCCTTACAGCCACACTATGGCCCTGGGGTCGACTCAACCTCTAACAGAAATGAGTACCAGGAATATTCTTGGAATATTCTTGGGGGTAAATTGCGGCCGGCGCATAAGGCTGACAACAATGTGGGAACCTCGACATCTTACAACCCTATGGGCCTCCATGGCCTGTTACAGGGATACCTTTACTTTTTTTTTTTACTTTTTTATATATAGGTTGTCACGTATTCGGGGTTCCGTGACGAATAATAATGGGTTCTGTACTGGATGATTGGATTTATTAATAATTCTTTTACAATCAACTCGTACTTACAAAGAATACAGTGTTAGTGCTGGTTTACACAATTTACAGACCACCGTTACACACGTACTAGGATTCTCAATCTTCACTGACTGACTGTCTCAGACGACAGAGTAACGTGTTAAGAAATGGTACACAGGGCATCGGTTTTGGAAGGGTTCTTTGGAACAGGATGATTAAATTAAAATTATTCCAAAAGAAATATATTTTGACATGTAGACCAGCTGCCAGGCACCGACCGCGAAATAAGCAGCTATACAACAGCTGCTGCTAGGCAATGGCTCTCTAAACAACGGCCGTTGCTAGGTAATGGACGTAACTTTTCGTAACACGCAACAACTGAGTAAGCGGAAAGCGGCGTTATATATCCCTGCGATAGTTACTTGACGCAACAATAGAAGAACTGTTGGGATAGTTGATTTCTGTGTGGTCCGTGCAGAAGTGTTTTAAGCAGAACAAGTCTAGAATTCTGTTAGCTGTGAGACAGTTTGCGGCCAGTAAGGACGTGAACACGGAAGCTGAGGAAGCTACGACTTTGTAAGCCGTTGCCAGGCGACAACCGGCGAAGATACAGCAGAATGAGAAGAATTAGTGAGTGCTATAGTGTGTGTGAATTAGCGATAGAACTATAGTTATTCGTAGTTACGAGTACGTTCTGTAAGTGTTCAATAAATCCGACTTCTATAGACACTCACACACGTCAAGATATGATGGCATGTTGTGGTTTAAACTGGCTCAGGATGGGGGCCAATGGTGGACGCTTCTGAACATGGAAATGAACTTTCAAATTTGAAATGCCGAGTAATGTTATCTAAAACTAAGAGTGTATCATCATCACAAAAAATCTGCTCCATGCTGTCAGAATATCGGTTGATTAATGATAAGACTTATGTGTTTTGAAAAAAAACAATCCGAATTCCACCCACCACAAATCCCACATCGACTGTCTTGAATATGATATTTTCAGGCCCAATAGAGAACAAAACACGGATCGAAATGTACAGTTCGTAATGAATGTATTAAAAGAGGAACACGTAACACAGAAAAGGTTATAATGCGGAATATGATAGCAGTGAAAGCTACGCGTGCCGCTCATGCATGTCTCAATGAAGTATATAAAACTCCAACTGGAATGAGTGCATTACCATTCTTCTCCGTTCGATGCAACGAAACACAAAACAAGCATGAAGATGCTCCTCCTGGTAAGTACTGTGACGTCGCAATTACGCTTGCAGTGAGTCTTAAGGCTCCCACACACCAGAGAAACATATTGAAGAAGTAAAAATACATAATATCTCCCTTAATTAGGTCCAGAGAGGCCTCCGTAGTCTAGAGGTAACGTTCCCACCTCATGACTCGTAGTACGCGGGTTCAAATACCCGGCGGAGGTCGTCGAATTTTTAAGGGCGGAAAAATTCAGGGAACAAGTCCTCCGGGAGGGACTTTAAGCCGTGGATCCCGTGTCGTAGCTTTACGGCAAGTAAAAGAACCTCATATCTCCAAAGGATGTCACTGAGCCAAATTCAGGACGTTTCCCGCCCAACAGCAATCTCTAATACCTCTGGTGGATTTATAGATTCATATCAGCTAGCAGAGCCGGTCTCGCTGGCTGGGCGGGACTGATGGTAAGCACCAGTACCGGTAGGATATAGAGACTGGTAGAATATCATAGAGGGAAGCACAATGGACCAAGACAGGTCTATGTGCACGGGGAACCCACCCTCTCCAATAACTAACTAACTAATTAGGTCCAGTAGATCATCAAAGCATTCAATTGGCATCCGAAAGTAAATATAGAATCGTTCTTCGTGTTGCCGCAGTTGCCGATATAAAGTATGAAATTCTCCTTCATGTTCACGAAGCAGATTAAGGTCGTGAATCCACGTTTTCTTACGCTTCTTTCTGAAAAATATATTAATTGTGATGTTAATATTTGTAATAACTTCTCAAATTTCTCCAATTGTACACAATACGAGTAAAAGGAATAATTACCTTGCTTGCTGCTGCTCGTCATCAACTACCGCTGCCAAACTTAACGCTTCTCCCAGACGAGATAATCGATACATCGTTTACGATGTTGTGCTTACGCGATTTTTCAAACTGATCGCTGCCACCGCGTTGTTGGTGTGAGAAGACTTATCGCCACCGCCGCCGCCATCGCTCTGGTGTGTGGGAGCTTTCAAGGCGGGTTTACACTGGGGCAACTAAAAGCAACCTAGTTGCCATCCCAGGGCGACTATGTTTGCCGTCCAATTTATCAAGCAGCATGCGGCTAGGAGCAACCGTTGCCACATGTGACCGACCTCATTTACACAGAGAGCGACTGGTTGTTTCAATTTTTACGTCCTCGTCCGTTGAAAGTCCTCTTCTTGGTGCGCCATCCTCAAGAAGGAAACTCAATGAAGGGAAGTGGGCCCCACATTTGTCGGATCCGCTCTTATTTCTGTATCTGTGGAAGGTCGTTCTGAGATTTGTAACCTTTTCTTTCGCTTCTTTCACCGAACATCCAAACTTCGTGGCTCATTCCTCCAATAGCTTGAACTTCTTCCGATTGTCTTTATAATTGGGTTCCCGCAAATCCCACAGAATGCTCTTTTCGCGGTATTCTTCGATAAGACACTTGGCTTTATCCGTGTCCCAACTCATCACGCAGCATGCGAGTAGGCAACTGAACTCTTGTGGCCTGGAGCAACTAGAGGACGTGGGACGCAAGCCGCATGCGCTTGCGCTACCCACTACCTGCAAGTGAGTACTTGCAGCATGCGATCGCGCCGCGTGCGAATAAGTAACTGAACCCACTAGCGATGGATAAACTTGCGGCCCGCAGCAACTAGAGGACGCGGGACGCGGGACGCGGGACGCAAGTCGCATGTGGTTGCACTACCCACTACCTGCAAGTGAGCAACTTGCAGCATGCGATCGCGCTGAATCCGGCGCGGTTGCCAATAGTTGCCTTAGTGTAAATCCGCCTTTACACAGAACGCCCATCTTAGCAACTCTAGTCAATATTCGAAGACAGAGAAAGCTGATGCATTATGCTACAAGCCGGAAGGTCACTAGATCAAATCCCGATAAGGTCACTGCATGTTCAATTCACCTGATTCTTCAAGCCGCACTATGGCCCTGAGTTGGACTCAGCGTCTAACAGAAGTGAGTACCAGGAATTTTTCTGCTGAGTAAAAGGGCTTCCGGCGCGTAATGCTAACAAAAATTACCGCCATTTGTGAGCTGATTATCTAGAAGACGTGGGAGTCTCGACCTCTCACACCCTATGGGCCTCCACGGCCTGTTACAGGGATAGCTTTACCTATTTTTTACAGAGTGCACGAAGTGTACGCATGTGCGAGAAATAATGTAATTTCTTAAGTACATTCCTCCAAATATGTTATACATTTCATTTGATGTGCGTCTTCTTTCGGTACCGAAATCATACACGCAACAGCAGTAAAAAAAAAGTAAAGCTATCCCTGTACCAGGCCGTGAAGGCCCATAGGCTTGTGAGACGTTGAGGGTCCCACATTATCTAGACAATAGGCTCAAAGATGACCGAATTAAATACAACAGAAAATGTCATGAATTAATCACTGCAAAAAGATATTATTTTCATACATTGCGTTTTAGTACAATTTTCTCGTAAAGAACAACGACCCATCTAAAAAATTATTAAGCAACTCCCAGTAGTGTATTACTGCTTTCAATTTCATAACTTCATTTCTAATTCCAGCAACTTTTTGAGATCTGTGTCTTGGCTCTCGCCGTTGGGGGCATTGTGGTCAAGGACGAAACACCGCTGAGAAAGAACACAGAGAAAGGTGGAAGAGAAGGGTTCGGTTTTGGGACTATCAGCCACAAGCACGGAGGCCTCAGCTACAGTTCCATCAGCCGCGGATCAAGTTCAACTGGACATGGAAGCCTCATTAGCTCCGTGGGTTATGGCCACGGAGGAATTGGGCACGGAAATTTCATTAGTTCCGTGGGGCATGGGTATGCTGGAGTCGCTTCTAGTGTTGGACCCCGAGGATTCGAGCTCTCTTCAGGACACGGTTATGGAGGTTTCGGTCACGCCGGTCTTGGTGGAGGTGCCAGTTTCGGGGGAAGTGCTGGAGCCCAGTTGCAAGTGAACACCATAACCCAACAAGTTCCATTCCCGGTGCCACAGCCAGTACCGGTCACCATCAACAGACCCGTCCCTGTGCCCGTCCCTGCTCCATACCCTGTCACTGTCCCCCGCCCTGTCCCTGTACACATACCCCAACCGGTCCCTGTTACCGTGGTGAGGCCCGTCCCTGTCACCGTCAGCAGACCCCTCCCTGTGCCCGTACCTCAGCCGGTCCCTGTTCCTGTACCTCAACCATACACCGTGCCTGTCCCTCAGGCCGTACCCGTGCAAGTGCCTCAGCCTGTGGCTGTCCCTGTGCCTCATCCGGTTACTGTGGAAGTACCCCAGCCTGTGCAATTACCGTCCGGTAACGCCGAGACCGTGGGATTCGGCCGTGGTTTTGGTGCACTGGGACACGGGTATGGGGGAGCTGGAGGGCTTGGGCACATCTCGGCTGGGCTCTACGGGAAGCACTGAACACCACTAGGTGGACTTCTTGAGTTGTATTATGTTTTGAAAACTGAATGGCACCGGCAAAAAATCTGTATCATTACTCTGGACATGTACACTTGCTACCAACATAAATAAAGCTACTTAACTTTTCTTTTGGTGTTATATTTTGTACTCCTTACGCACAAAAAACTGTAAAAAATAGACAAATATTCTATACGCTGTGTCTGTCCGTCCACGTGTTTAATTTCCAAACATACTACCTAGATATCAAATGCCGGCCACGCCATATCTCAAGCGGTTGGTCGCTAGTTTCCCATCGCGGCTGCCCGGGTTCGATCCCGGGTCTGGTCAAGTGGGATTTGTGGTGGACAAAGTGGAGCTGGGGCAGGTTTTCCCCGAGTACTTCGGTTTCCCCTGCCAATCTTCATTCCACCAATTGCTCCACAATCACCCTTACCTATCATCTGGGGCTGGTACAATAGGCCAGAAGTGGCCGCAGTACAAGGCACTTAGTCCCACCCCACTAGCAATAAAAAAAAGCAAAATTTAAGGTGGGAGGTGAACGGTGCTGGTTTAATAATTTATCTAATATTATCATCAGTAGTGAACCTTATTTACATAGAAGTATAAATTTTCTATGGTCTATGCAATATTGCAATCTGCGAGCGAAGAAGTGTAAACACTGTGTGGGTATTACGTTGAACCAACCAATTATCTGCCTGGTAATGGAGCTCGAAGGCTCAACAGCGCTAATGGACACAGTCACGGGTCCTTTCAGTTGCTGCTTTCAAAGAGTTACATTACCCTATTAACTGTGCAGTTGCGTCTATTACTAGCGAAATTCGCATTCGTTTCTTATTACTTAACGTGTTGTGTGTCGCTATTTCCATATTTTATTCTCTAATTAAAATCAAGAAAATTAGTTCAAAATGAAAGCTGTTATTGTCACACCTCCCAGCAAAGAGAACTTCAGCTGATCAGTCCATGTTTCTAATGGCTAGGGTGGGGAACTGGGGCGACACCATCTTACTAAAGCAACAAGTGTTATGTCGTAGTGGAAAGTATTTCGTCGTATTAGACTATAAAGCGTGGTAGGTATTCCGTAATAATTTTCGTTGGCGAGCACTTGATCTGACACCTTGTCGTGCTCTAAAGGAGCACGTGGTAGCGTAGTTTGTTGAGGCTCTATGCTACAAGCCGGAATGTCGCCGGTTCGAGTCCCGATTAGGTCACTGGATTTTTAAATTGATCTAATCCTTCCAACCGCACTATGACCCTGGGGTCGCCTCAACCTCTAAGAGGAATGAGTACCAGAAATATTCGGGGGTAAAGGACGACCAAAGCTTAGGGCTGACCTCACCGCTACATGTGAGTCGATCGTCTAGAAAATGTGGGAGTCTCGAAGTATAACAACCCTATGGGCCTCCACGGCCTGTTACTGGGATTGTAATATTGTAATATGTACTTAGACTTTTGATCATACTATATACTATTTTAATGTGTAATTTTTGTGTTAGCCAAGAGGGTGCTCCATGAGAGTTGAAACCGTCTGTGGCAAGCCTGATACATGTTATCAACTCCTGACCTTTTAACACTTCAATAACATGTTCCCCCAAGCTGAAGAGAAGAGAGTCAAGTTTTTTGGTTCGTCCACGCGCGATGCTGCACGTACACAACTGAACCTTTAAACTCTGTACTCATGACTCCCCCACCCTCTTTGGCCCTCTTCTTAAAGTTTAATATATAATACCAGTAAGATTAAAAAACAGGAGGAGACTTCTTCAAAAACCTGTACTGTATACACACTGTATATACTATCTACATCTTTTACTTCTTTTAATAAAAACTTAGTATAATTGTTGAGCATAGAAATTCGTCTTCAATTAGCGGGTCCCTTACCCGCCTTACCCAGCAAGAAGATATTACAGGATAGCTTTGCCTTTTGCCAATAGATCCTACTTTTCTTTTTAGATGGTGCAGTCAGTTAAACCATTCGCCCGATCCTGCAACGAATCGTCTGCAACAATGGGCCTGCCCCTTAAAACTATATTCAGGTGCGTGTAAAGTTTTCTCCGTGCTGAAGCCACAAAGGTGTATGGGGAGCGCGTATGGTGAACCCCAAGCATCGTGTACTTTAGCGCTAGACGGTGGTGAGGGGTTAAATATTCGTTCCACTTTACCCATAGAGAGAAGGCCTCTGGTACCGAATGGATAGAATGCTGGGTGGGTCCGAGAGCCGGCCCGGACCCAATGCTAAGAGGCATTCATTATTCCCAATCTTTTCAATACACTATATCGACCTCACGCATAACGGCAGATGGCAGTGCTGTATCGATCTGTATGGCGTCTTTACTAAACGCTATGACCACTTCTGAGGCAATAATTTCGCTGTAAAACGAGTTCCAATTGCAGGCAACATTATCTCTTGTGAAGGGAAATTTGGGATGCTGGCGGAGGAATGTTCATAGTTCCGTGTTGGCGACCTTGCGTTACAGCTGACAGCAAGTCGCTGGTAGGGAAGTACTGTACAAGGAAGAAGTGCAAGGTTAGTGAAGCCTCGTGTTAGTGGTTTGAGCTGGGAACGCATCTGCTAGTAAGTTACAGGGCAAGTAACGTTTGTTTTAATGGTAGTTTTTTATTTGAATTACTCTGTATGCAGTTAAATTAATTGACGTGAACTTTCTTAGATATTCAGTGATATTTTCTCGGGCTTATCAGCCGTGTTAGTGTGAAGTCTGTGTCCGGACGGCGTTTCGGAGATTGTCTCTGTCTCCATCGGCAGGGGTTAATATGATTAGTGGTGTAAACTGTCATCGTGAAAGCCTAAAGTCGTTTACAGCACACATATGTTGAACGTATGAGCGACAGACAGAGTATTTAAAAGTGTAAACTCACAGTTTCTTACCATCAATCGAAAACAACAAAGGACACTTATTTTGTAAATCCTAAATTATGCAGAAAAATAAAATGCTGATTAAAGAGTGACAGCAAAACACCTCTCTCGGGTCATTGCCACAACGCAACGAGGACTCCGATGTAACAAGGTCATAACAATAACATAGGCTAATAAAACAAGTTGGATCTTATAAAAATTAGGGAATGACAGAAGCTGAAATGACAGATTTCTGTTTATATGTTGTGAAACAAATGCTGGTACAGTGTAACCATCCCTCTGCTCTGTTATTTCAGTTTATAATCTGAAAGCCAACTTCAGAAGTTATGTCGCTCAACTGGTCAAGATATTCCTACCTTTCACCGGACCTGATGGTTTATTTCCGCGTTCAAAACTGTCAGCGTCGTGCTATTGGCCCTTATCTTGAGCCGGACGAATCCAAACCGCACATCACAACAATGGTTCTTTAAGATGTGCGTCTCGTGAGAGCCGGGATAGCGCAATCGGTATACCGACCGGCTGGATAGCTGGGGTTCCATTCCCGGTAGGGGCAATTTTTTCTTTTCGCAATAGCATTCGGACCCGCTCTGGGGCCCACCCAGGGTCCCATCCAACAGGCACAGACGGCTCTTTCCCTGGGGTAAAGCGGCTGAGGCGTGAAGCTGACCATTCACCTACATCTAGTTCCGAGGTCGAGAATGATGGAGCTATATCTCCACTCCCCAATTCGTCTTCATGACATAGTATTCAGTTAATTAAGCACAGGGACAACGTTACCTTGTTACCTTTATATTTAGGTCGCTTCCCTTCAGGTTCCAACTGAACGTTGGTGCGTATTCTTATCTGTTCAAAGCTTACCGTAACCCCTCTCCCCACCTAATCATCCTTGATTTGCAGCNGGCTGCTGTACTGCGATGTGGAAAGCAAATGGAAAAACTACCACATTATCACTTTTCCTGGATAGTCTCTTTCCAAAAACAGAGGATCGCATTAAGTGGAGGAACTGTTTTGGAAGAGACTGTGGACCTGTCGTCTGACAGATTACTGATGGATGGATGGATTATTATTATTAACACTAGTAGGCCTAACGTTGAGTTAGAATGGCGGGCTCTTATGGAAATTTTGTATCATAAAAGGGAAGTAATTTGACTAGCTGAGCGACCGTAAACTTCTCGAGGTGGCCTCAACGTCATGAATTTCATTAGTTCGTTGGTCAGAACGAATGAATTCCTGTAAACACAGTAAGGGCGGGGGCACACCAGGGAAACAGGCAACCGCAATTTCCGAGAATTGTCATCAGCCTGAGCTGAACACATGTTACTGAATGGAGAAGCGCAAATTGAAGAAACGGCAACGCAACTCACGGAAAGACTGAGAAACTGAATTTCCAGGCAACGGAGCATACCATTCGTCTCATAATTGCGTTGTCGCGTGGTTTCCTACAATCAGCTGTTCTATAACGCGCTTCAGTGATTCATTTGTTTCTTAAGATATCACGAAAGTTTGACGAAGCTGCTAATTTTGTTTCTGTGCAGTTAACTGAGCAAGAGCCTGGTATATATGACAAACGCCACTCACAGACTATGCTAGGCAGGACAAAATAGATTGGCTTGGGAAAGAATTTCCCATGAGACGAAGAAATGTGGATCCAGGTTAAGTTCTTTCGAAATAATATAAGCGCTTCAGTTTAAATTGTCACAGAAGAACGGATGCACCCAATTTTTTCTTTTCCTAATATTGCATTTAATCATCCTGTTGCATTAATATGAGCGCCTCTGTGGTCTAGTAGTCAGAGTACAGACCCAGAGGTCCCGGGTTCGATTCCCGGAGCTGCCAAATTTTCTGAGAAGTAGGGGTTCTGGAACGGGGTACAAGCAGACTGCTTTTACCGGTTTTCACGGTCTCTTCGCACGCGGATTTCTTATTTTCCTTTTACCCTGAAGGTGGAGGCGATACGTTCCTCCGAAACGTCGGTTAACACCACATATACACGGTGCCACATCCCAGAAGACTGCTTTGTTCATAATCAAACATACGTATGTTTCCGCAGTGTCCGCCTGCCGATCTGGAAACCAGTTGCATGCTTGAAATCGGCGACATTTCTCTGAAATTTTGGTTGCGTTGCGGTTGCAAGTTTCCATGGTGTGCCCGGAGTCTAAAGTAGCCGACTGCAGCGTGTGTCAGAGTTCGTTCAGGATTTAGCGTTCTTCGGATTTTGATCATCTCTGGTTGTGTTGGCTGATCATGTGGCGGATTTCGGACATTATATTGCAGTGGATTGTTCACGTTATGAGTATTATAAAGTAAATGTTTATGTTACATGGAACAAATTACATTATATGACTTTCTTCTTTTGTTTTTTTATTTTGGCAATTTCGAATTTTCTTTCATTTATTCAATGAATCATACAGTACTTTGACTACGCTCTTCGTTTGAAGAAATGAACTGTTGCCAACAAAGTCATCGTTTTGTCGTGTACTGGACAGACGACCTGGGATACTTCAGCCAGTAAAGTTACTGGCTTCAGACTGGACGACCGGGGTTTAATTCCCAGTATTTTTTAATTCGCTTAGTGAGGGGTGGAGTCCAACTGGATCCACTCGGCACGGCGGCCACTGATTGGCCTATTGTAGCCTGCCCCAGGTGATTATGATGATGGAGCAATTGGTGGAATGAAGATTGGCAGGGGAAACCGAAGTACTCGGAGAAAACCCGCCCCAGCGCCACTTTGTCCACCACAAATCCCACTTGACCGGACCCGGGGTCGAACCCGGGCCGCCGCGGTAGGAAGCCAGCGACTAACCGCTTACACCAGTGGGTGTAAGGGATCTCTCCCCGAGAGCATGGAGCTGAGTACCTTTCTCAATCTAGCAGGGAGTTGTACACGCATGGAGCTCTTATCTCAACATACATCTTTATGGCCTCGTATTAAGCTCATAGACAACCTTGCATTTAACATTTTCATAATTGTTAAGTATAGCAGAAAGACACAGTACTGTGGGACCAAATGTTTCTCTGGAATGAGATCACATTAGATTTGTCACCGTATGATTCACTTAAAAACTACACATTACATTGTGTCCCAGGCAAGCTTTCTTTTTTAACGGTTGAAGTTTAAAATAAAGCAGCTGAGGTGGGAACACTTGGATACGCTGGATTTATTCGAGGAAAAGTAAACGTTCAAGGTCAGTTTTAATTCATTTCAAAACTGGTGTTGAGAGCAGGAAATGTTACGTTACACGTCTGCACGACTGACAGAATACAACGAAAAGGAACAGTGATCTCATATCCGCTTTTTGTGATCAGAAAAATTCCGAGATGGGTGGATGAGTGCTGATGCGCCTTCCGGGCGGACATCGATTACACATGTTCTGAAACTGAGGAATAGATCGATAGGCATACCCAGGCAATCATCACTGATTGAACTGAAGCCGGCAAGTTCTCCGATGGGTTTATCCAAATACGTTTTATTCTGATAGATCAGGGAACCGATAGAACGCTGAAGTATGTGTTTTTTAAAGCAGCGATTGCTTATAACGTACATAGGTTTCGTATAATTACTTTATCAGAGTTTGTTATAGGCTTACCCGATTCTCTAATTGCCTTGTGGGATGTTTCGTAGCACATGAGATCATACAGTGCGTTCAATTAAGGAGGAAACTTCGCAAAACCGCTGACCCGGCCCAACATTCCTCACAGATTGCTGTAACTGCTTATAGCAGAATGAGTCATTAGCGCTGATAAACGCTGCCGAGCCGGTCACGGTAGCCGAGCGGTCTAAGGCATGTACTGTCTTCGCTCGCTTGGAAACCGGGATCGTGGGTTCGAATCCCATTCAGGGCATGGATGTTTAGTTTGTGTGTGTGCGTTTTTCTGTGTTTGTGTACAGGTAGAGGCCTTGCGACGAGCTGATCACCCACCCAAGGAGTCCTACCGAATGTGTAAGATCTAGAAAAACCGAAGTGAACGGAGAAGTTCATGGAGGTAGGCCTAGGCCCACTGGGGCTGTAGTGCCAGGGGAAAAAAAACGCGCGCCGTTACAGTTACAGTTACAGTTACAGTTACAGCAGAAATTTGTGAGGAATACTGGGCCCGGTCAGCGTTGTTGCGAAATTTCCTCCTTGATTGAGCACTCTGTAGTATTTTATAGGCCTATCTGACGCTGTTCGGTGAACAGAGACGAAACCAACGTAACAATTGTGTATACTGCTATAGTCTTAAACCTTTCTCCAAATATTCCGATCTTCAGTGAAGAAAATCTCAAGATTTTCTCGGAAATAATCTGTCAGTCCATGTTAGGCCTACACAGGAGAGCTGGTAATTTCTTTGGACGCTACCCATTCTCTCGTTTCGGAGACTAGTAGCTGGCTTTGGAATTGGTTACGTACTATGACAAAATTTAATCACGTTCACAGCTATAAATTTAACTTCGAGTTCCTTTTTATGTGTACATTTAACGATGTATAGAAAATCACATTTTGTGTTTGAACAATTGGTGTCGAATGTAATCAGGTTATATTTTAGCGTCCTGTTGCACTGATTTATGTCCCTGATTTATTCTGTCTTACAGTGCATATATTTATTCACCTTACTCTTCTCTCTCTAAAATTTATCAATATATATGACGAATATATATTTTAGTTATTTTAGTATAAAGACAACAGGGCATGCAATGAAGTAGTTCGACGTACATCGAAAAGCACCTGAAGATGGCACTTTAGTGCTGAAACATGTAAGTGCAAGAGAGAAGAGTAAGGTGAATAAATGTATTCACTGTAAGACGGTCAGAATAAATCATGCATGTAATCAGCCTTGCGTCAATAAAGTTCCGCCTGCAGTAAGTAACATCAAGGTCGTTGAAGAATGTAAAACTGAAAGAAAGAAGAATATTTTATAACTGAATGACGCTATATCGAGTGTGATTCGTATTTGTATTCGTATTATTATAGGGGGTGGATTTCCCCATGCACTTAGACCAGTTATTGGTCCATTGTGCATCCCCTTTTAATTTTTACTGTTGCCATACCCTACCGGTAACGTTGCGTGCCATCAGCCCCGTTGAGCCAACGAGGTCGGCCCTCGGTACCTTGATGCTTCCCCCATCTACCAGAGGCATTGGAAACTACTTGGGCGGGAAATTATTGCCTTTAATTTAGCTCAGAGGTCTCCTAGAGACATGAGGATCTTTTACGTGCCGTAAAGCTACGACACGGGACCCACGGCTTAAAGTCCCTCCCGGAGGACTTGTTCCCTGAATTTTTCCGCCCTTAAAAATTCCACGACCTCCGCCGGGTTTGAACCCGCGTACCTTGAGTCATGAGGTGCGAACGTTACCCCTAGACTACGGAGACTACACTATGTCGCGTGTGATTAGCTTCATAGCAATGGGATTTTTCTGTAGCATGTCTGAGTGTGTGTTAAGGTTATTGAGGAATTCACACAATTCGAAGAAATGAAGAATGGTGAAGGTAAGGTTAACCCTTGCCTTATAGGCGTATGGGGGACAGAAGTATAGCTCCACGCATTCTAACGTTGGCAGTAGGTGGAGGAGATATTAAGCGTCAAGCTCCTACCGGTGCACACTCTGAACCCATTGAACGGGAAGGAAGCGAGAAACGAAAATCTCATGCCGGAAGGAAATTTATAATAATACCTTGACTGTCGTTACGCCCGGCCTTTTGTACCGCTCAGCTAACTTGCCGGTAGGTGCTAGTGAATCAAGGGGACACGCAGTAGCGTAGTTGGTTGAGGCACTATTCTACAAACCAGAAGGTCGCGGGTTCGAGTCCCAATGAGGTCATTGGATGACGCCATCCCGTCTCCTTCCTACCACACGACTCTTCTGAGCGACTACTAAAATCAGAGTGCTAGCGGCCTCTCCTGTCCGAACCTCCAAAATTCAACATTATAAAAGTTCCGTGCACTCAAAATCCTAAAATCGGCAGATTCATCCTGGCCGATATCCTGCCAAGCGAGACTTGTTTCTGTGACGTTCTTCCGATTGCTCGGCAGTTTCTATATACTGTACCACTGAAACCGGGTGGCTGAGGAATGTGCTACGTCCAAAGGTGATCTCAACTCTGGTTTCCGGCTGGCCAACCTGTTGTTCACCTAACGGATTTCAATTTATAAAACTTATAATTATTTTCTAATAAATTAAACACAAAATCGATCTATTAATAACCTGGGGCACGACAGCCGATTGTCTAGAAAATATGGGAGCCTCGATCTCTCACAACCCTGTGGACCTCCGTGGCCTGTTACAGGTATAGCTTTTTTCTTTTTACGAGTGAATCAGTGCTACTGAAAGCGCAGAAGACTGCAGATAAGAGTGTGATCTCCCTGGCTTCTGTTACGTGGCAGTATTATCTCACGGACTGTCGTTCAGTGTCAAAATATATCACGGAATGTAGACTGTGTGGGGGCACGCGGTAGCGTAGAGGTTGAGGAGCTATGCTACAAGCCGGAAGGTCGCGGGTTCAAGTCCCGATGAGGTTATTGGATTTTTTTCAATTTACCTAATCCTTCCAGCTGCACTGTGGCCCTGGGGTCGACTCAGCCTCTTAACAGAAATGAGTACCAGGAATTAATTCAATAAATTTCCTGGGGAGTAAAGCGCGGCCGGCACGTAAGGCTGACAACCTTACCGCCATCTGTGAGCCGATTGTCTAGATAATGTGGGCACCTCAACGTCTCACAACCCTGTGGGCCTTCACGGCCTGTTACAGGGGTAGTTTTACTTTTTTTATGTAGACTGTGTGCAGTAAAGTGCCTCACATTATTGAATCACTGATTCTACGTCATATTCGTTATAAAGATTTTCTGCAAACTCCATGTTAAAACTGTTCTATATCAAACATCAACTTTACGTCAAAGTTTGTGCATGTGCTCTCGTATCTTGATAGGTCTGCTTCAATCAAGTTGTATGATTTGAGGTTTTCACGGCTGTGACTATGATGAAAGTGTTTTCTGGGATGTGGCACCGTGTAGATATTGTGTTACCCGACGTTTCGGAGAACGTATCGCCTCCATCTTCAGGGTAGAAGACAAGAAGAAATCCGCTAGCGAACCAGCGTGAGCAGGTACAGCAGACTGAGACGTTGTGTAAATGAAAACAGGACAATGGATATTGTCCAAAGAATCAATAATTGTACATACTATGGTTCTCCTAACATGATTTGTGATGAATTCGTTGTACAATTGAACGACAAAGAAAAAAGTCTATGAAATCAATTTTGGACTTATTCCAGGTTATTATTGTAAAGGACACCGATAAAATGATGAAAGATGACAGCATTAAAAAAATACTGCACATTTACTCAGTTGACACCGAATCTATTGTGTATGAAGTTGAATTGCGACGCTTTTGCATGCTGTCAGCACTGAAAATTTCGTTATCATCGAAGTCTCCCACTGTACTTTACACGCTCGTTTCGATGGTTTCTATAGCACGTTTACAAATGTAGAAACAGTTCTTACAAAAATGTCAGGTCCACCGCCAGCTGCGAGCCGCACACAAATTTTGCCGATAGATGAGTATGCTTGATGGCCAGTAACGTTTGATATTAAGGGAAGTTATTAACTTTGTGGACCACTTGGTGGCATTGTGTTTCACGGCGAGCAGTGAGGCTCATGCATGGGAATCTGTTTATGATTTGTCAGCACTGAGGGGCAGTTATCGGTTCCATTAGCCGTTTGAAAATATTCCTGCAGAACAGCTTCAAACCGTAGATCAGAATCTCTTGCGCCCGTGCGAGGAATGTCTGCATGTAGAGGGACAGCATTTTGAACGCTTCCAGTGATCTATTAATTGTAACTACGCCATTCCGAACGTTATCGGCCAACAGACATATTGGTTCAACAGCAAAATTCATATGCGCCTTGCAGCCGGCGGTGCACCGGTCGCCGTGAAGCGCAGAGACGTCAACCGGTCATCAAAAGTAAGAGCATCCGTATATGTACTGCGGTTATTGTGGCTGGACTTACTGTAATGTCATGTGTCTGTTGCTCTGTAATTATTATCAATAATAACTTTTTTCTTCCTCAACAGAAAACACAGATCTAATAGTCAGCCATGACTGTTTCAAAATGTCTTCCAATCCTGAGCCATTTTGCCTGTGGATATTCATTGAAAACAGGAACAATTTTTACAGGATGGCTTAGCTTGGTAAGTTATTAGAGAAAGGTTGCTGAGGCCTGAAAAGTAGTCAGTTTCACTTCACTCTTTGCTCAAAACGAAGTGATGTAAACGTACTTAATACACTGCGTTTTAGAGTGTTGAGATTGGCAGGACCCCTTTAGTTTTATTATATCTTTCTACGTTTTTCTTTACTGCTAGTGGGGTGGGACTAAGTCCCTTGTACTGTGGCCACTTCTGGCCTATTGTACCAGCCCCAGATGATAGGTGAGGGTGACTGTGGAGCAATTGGTGGAATGAAGATTGGCAGTACCGAAGTACTCGGAGAAAACCTGCCCCAGCGCCACTTTGTCCACCACAAATCCCACTTGATCAGACCCGGGATCGAACAATCTTTCTATGTTAGTCATGGCAGAGAATATACTTAATTAAATATAAATAAGCTTTTTCTTATTTGAAGTGACTTTGTATATAAGAATATCATACATTTCTGTCGTGACACATTGCGTTTCGAGCCCTCAGTGAGAAAACGGGTGTCTCCCATATCATTTGTTATAATTACAGGTTGAAGATGTGTTGGAGTTGGTGATTTCTGTTGTATACTTCCTTACCTATGGCAAAGAAATTCCTGGTAAGACCTTTTTTATTTTCTATCGGTGAAAATGCCCGCGTTTCATAATTGTTTAATATTACAGTAAAACAACAAACGTTTTTTATGTTGTAGCATGTATAGCCGTTGCTATGCAACTATCGTAAGATGGGCTGTTTTATCAGGTCCGTTTCTGGACAACGGCTCGGTAAACAGTCTCCCGCAGAAAAGGTTACGCATGCAAAAGGGGGAGGGGGTGTTGTCCGCGCGGTCCGCGCAGAGGTGTTGTAAAGAAGAGAAGTGGAGCAACCAGTTCAGTTGAGCTCTGCAAGGGAGACTGAGAAGGCATGGCGCTATAGTTGAGTTGAGAGTTGAGACATCTTAGTTGTCATGAGTTGAGTTCTGCATGGGAGGATGTGAAGAATAGAATCTGGGTGCGTGATGTGGGAGAATTTCCACTGTTAGAAGCTGTTGCCAAAGAACGGCTGACGAAGACACAGCAGGCTGGGAAAGACTTAGCAGATGCTGTGGTGATTTATAAAGTATGGAGATTAGCGATAGCTCTGAGTGGTGTGTACGTGTGTAAGTGGTCAATATATCTGTTCACCAATCCATACACCGTCTACAGTCACACCCCTAAATCGTGACAGCGTGTAGTTTTCATATGGTTACCAACTTCTGGTATCTCATGAATGTAATTTCGCTATATGATACTGTTACCAAGATTTTCTGCCATGTGTTTTGAAGATGTATTGACTTAAGTATTTCATAATGTGTCAGTTTTGATTACCATACAGTGTTGATCTGTGTACTGGTATTCCAAATCTGTAAAGACCTCAGGTCTCAATATTTTTTAAACAATAGAAGGTTTCTAAAACCTCATGCAAATTATTTTTAACTCTGTGAAGTCACAGCCTGTACTTGGTCTGGCTATTTAAACTTCCTGCTGCAATCCTGATGTGAACTCAATTCAATTTTTTAAATTTTCCCTAGCAGTCCCATTCAGGACTCAGTCCATTAGGAATTCTGGCAATTCTTTTTCACTGTTTTGAAACAAATGACACTGATTTTTCCATAAAAATAACAGGGCTTAGCAAGACCACATCGGGTAAGTAAAAGAACTGAACCTTAAAGAGTTAAACTGGCATCACATTTGCTGTGTTAAGTTAATTTTCAGGTTTTACGCTGCAAATTGTTAACAGTGCCTAATACAAAAAGAAGACAGGCGCTGGTATTCAAAGATCATGAAGCCCAAAATCCAGGGAGTCCTATATATGAAGCCTGCCTCTAAAGGGGTCTGGTAATGTAATTGATTCCTCTTTCTGTATAACTTATACCTTCAGAATAACTTAATTGCTCCTCAACACCTTCTAACATCAAACTGATTTGAAATTGAAACGAATTCATAAGACGTCTCTAAGAAATAAATGATGATGCCCGCCATTTCACAGAATAAGGCAGTTATCACCAGAAAAGACAGCAGTCAGCCCAGAACACATGACAATAATTTTTCAGTTATGACAGTGTCAGTATAAATAATATATGTCATCAGGTGGCAGGATGATTAATAAATGATGAATTGTAAAGGATTTAGAAGGAAATTACCATAGCCTAATCAAGGTAATGTCCCTTCAGAAAGGATAGCTGGTGTCTTTGCCAAGATTTGAACCAGCCACCTGCCAAATACAAATCTACAGTGTTACTGCCATACCAACCTGCTCAGTACATGCAAGTAATGATTCCTAGGTTCTCAGTATAAAAAATAAGATGAATTTGGTAAAGTTCATGTACAATATAAAAAATAGGCACTTCTGTATTTATTACTGAATTACACTCGTTTGTCTGTAAAGTCTATTTGATAACTGATACCAACATCACAGACATCAACCGAATGATATTTATGGAACACTGTGCAGTGGAATGTTTAAACTAACTCCATCGAGAATGCACCCACTAATAGTTGCTCAAATAGTCAAGAAGTTCCCTGCCTTTTATAAAATGCAAAGGGTTATTATTATGTAAGATTTGAGGTTTTCACGGTGGTGACTAAGAAGAATGGTGTCTTCTGGGATGTGGCACCGTGCAAATATTTGTTAACCAAAGTTTCGGAGGAATGTACACCCTGAAGATGGAAACGATACGTTCCTCCAAAACGTCAGTTAACAAATTATCTACATGGTGCCACATCCCAGAAGGCAGCGTTCTTCACGACTATTAATATATTCACAGCTTTCCATGACTGGACTCTCTTTTGTGCAAGCTGATGCAGTATATACGCGTGTTACTTCTGTCAGCTATGATTACTGTCAGTGACACTTTCTAATTTCCTTGAGAAGTGACAAAGATATACAGACAGCAGTAGGCAAGTTTGGACCAAACTTTGTGGAATAAACTATAGAGAAGTTGTAATGTTTTTCTAAACACGATCTACTCATTATGGTGTCACACCAGAAGTATGTGCTTCTAGTGTTTGTTTGCAGTTGGTACAGTTGTGTGAGAGGAGGAGGGTTTCAGTAGGGTAGGGATTGTGTATGTTCCACAGCATCCATACCAGTTCTGGAGCCCACCAAGGTCCATCAGTAATGGGTATTTTTAGGGATTTGAAGTCCTTCCCTGGTTTAAAATAGCCAGAGCGTGAAGTTGACCACTCACTTCCAGCTAATGCCAAGATTACAAATGCATGGAGCTTTACTTGCACTCCCACATGTATCTTCATGGCCTGATGCTTAATAAAGCATGGGTACAACTGTTACCTGTGATATAAATACTAGTCCGCTCAACTGACAGGCAGTGTCTTAACATTGTACTATTCTTGTACTTGGAGCACTTGCACCTTTTCTTGCTTACCTATCCATAGAAATCATTTACATCAGTTACCGAGCTTTATAGCACATGTGTAGCATATGATTCAAGGATAACTCTGCCATTTTCATTAAGGTACTTTTGTTTGTTATAGACTGGCAGTTGTTGCTTGTTAGTGCAGTTGGTGGAAGTGTCATAAGTGCAAGTGTTCATGGACTGCTTTTATATGGAGCCTACAAAGTAAGTATACGAAAATTTTGGCGTGACAGTGTCCTCTGTCATAATCTGTGTGGGGAGTTACTTCAGTGGAGAATCCCTAGATTAGATGTTTGCTGAATTATGATATAAATAACATAAACATCCATTCCTTAGACAGTATTTTAACCTAAAATACAGTGAACTAAGGTTTCTGACTCAACGTATGAAACACTCTTACCCATAGCATTAATAAAGTTATTTCTGAAAGAAATTTCTTGCATGTGTTCCGAAGTGTTTCAGAGTCACAGATCAGTATGTTAGTATTTGTGAAGTTCAGATTGCACCATGTCTGTGTTTTGCTACATTGCATAATGAAATGAATATTTTGTGTAAAAGGTACTTAATAGAATTTAAATCATCTTAACTGGGAGCTATAAGTTGTCCTGACAATGAATTGCTATGTGTTTACAGACAAAGCCTTCATTTTTGGTGCCATACCTGATACTGGGCGTACTAAGCATCATATCAGGTTCTGTTACTATAATTGTTTTTGGTGTATATGCTTTCTTATATGACCTGGAAATTGGAATTTCCGTCCTTCTTACTGGTGGACTGACAGTCGGTAAGTGTTTTCAGTTAAACTCACTAAAATATTAATTTTATGGGTATGCCAGTTATGCAGTAAAGGTAAACTTGTCCCCGTACTTAACTAAATAAGCTCTATGCCATGAAGGTGTATGAAGGAGTGGATATATAGATCGACATTTTCTTGACCTCAGCACCAGTTTGGGGTGAGTGGTCAGCTTCACTCCCACTTAAACCTTCAGGAAGAACCCCCAGTACCCATTTGATAGGAGGCTGGGTGGGCCCCAGAGCCGGTCTGGACAATATAGAGAAGAGAAAATTCTTGACCCTACCAGGACTAAAACTCCAGCCCTTCATTTATTCAGCCCATAGTCATTTGCTATACCGACTACACTAGCCCGGCTCCCAAATAGCCATTAATAATGATAATATATGTCAATTTCTTCTGTCAAATGTATAATAACCAGCAGGGATTAAAATATGAAAATGTCTAGTGACATCAGTCCTTGTGAGTACTGAAAGCATCATTTCTTTTCAAACCACTGGAATCTATAAAGCTATGGACATCCCTTTTACTTATTCTGTTATCTTGTTTGTTACACTCCCAGTATGTCTGTTATATAGTCAGGTGAGTGTTACTGTCACCATTCAGTATCATTTCATTCTCAGTCTACTCAACGCTTAACCAAAACCCTGAAGCCACTTAACGTAAAAGAGAATTTTGATAAATTTTCATACCACTTTTGGAAGATTGTATACATCCAGTACCGATAAGCACACACAACATGGTGATTCAAACAGAAACAGCAAGCTACTTTGTAATGGGGTGTGACACCATATAATCTGGCAGATAGTTGCCAACTTTACAAAGGAACCTTCTGCCTGCAATTTTCAAGGGAGAAGAGCTTTCATACAAATATGTTTACATTTCATGAGTGGCTGTTATCAGTATTCAGCACTCAGCTGCGCCCAAAGTGGATGTCTCAGGAGCCACAGTCACTGGGAGACTGATCTCTCAGCATGGCAAGTTATATAGGTTGACTCCTTGCCTCAAAGATGTCCAAATTGATAACAGATTGAAGTTTATATTTAAGGTGATAATTGTAAATATCAGATCTAATTCAACTGGAACTTCAGTTCTCAGTGCCTTCTAACCTGTCTGGGGAGAACGTATGAGTCATACATACCTTCCAGGACTTCATTGCAAATGAGATTAACAATAGCTACAATATAATAATACTATATAGTGAACCATTACTTTGCACAATTTCCACTAATATCATTTCTGGGTACATTACATTGGTCAGGTATAACCTCAAAATTCTGCACCAGCTGTATATTTGTAATTTTTCACTTGTATACAATAATTCATTCTGAATTTCTAGGTTTATTTCTGATTGGTCTTCATTTAAAATTTCACATGCCTAGTCAAATGGTTTATTAGTTGTCATTAAACCAAATGCTCAATATAGATTTAATGAGACTGTTGTGTTGTTTGTGCTGTGTTCTTTGATCTTGAAGAAGGTAACATATTCTTCCAAAACTTCCAAAACATTAGGATCTAAATCTTAACTGCTATGTTTGTTTGTAGTACTCTTGGTCTACTTGTGGCTGGTTGTCTACAGTTACTACCAACAACTTCAAAAGTGCTTACTTCCCCAGCGTCAAGGCACCATAGAAACTGTTCTCACTGTGGCAGAAAATGATGGTGATTACATGGCACATCACAAGTTTCTGTCTCATGAAAAATTTGATGGTTCAATCTCAGCTGTTACTTCATAGAGAGCAACTGATCATAAAAATAAAGTATTGTCCCTGAAACTTTCAATGCCTGATCACTGCTAAAAGTTAAAAAGAGTTTACCAAGATAATTCTGAAAATGTTACTGAAATAATGTGAAAATTACACATTTTTAGATATGAAAGGACTAGTCAAATGATAATTACACATTTTTAAAAATGATAGGACTAGTCATATGGCCTTTACTAATGTTTTATGAAAACTGAACTAGTGTTTACTGATGATACATTTTAGATGCATGAATATTTTTTTGTATAAAAATTTGATTGGCTTACTAGCTGGTGAATCAGCAGTAAGGGAGCTAGTAGTTTAGCTCAGAAACTGTTAACATAATTCACTTTTATTTGGGAAATATCCAGCTTTAATCACAGTTGAAACCAACTGTCCTGCCTTGAAATGAGGGACAACAAATTTCTATCTTGTCCTTTACAATATACCACATTTAATCATCCCTTTATCTCCTTTTACACTATATAATAGTGGAAAACGATTGTGCATCATTAAATAATCATGAAGTAACCAGCAAACAAGCATATATTTTCAGCAGCATATTAGAAAATGTCAGATTATTACAATAATGGATTTTGCAGCATGTGATTGTAAAGGAGCATCCACATTACTTGTGCTCGTGTGACTCACTATGCTCGCGAGTAATGTGGACGATATGACAAGTCACGAGACAAGCAAATTTTTAATTTAAAAACTAAGCCAATAAATGAAAATATGACTACAACCTATACACACTACCGGTAAATATACGGATCCTCACGTGCTGAAGCCTGGCAAGCAACTGAAGTAGTGTGGATGAAGATTTACGAGCACATGTGAAAGCTAGACGAGTCTCCTGATGAGCACAAGCCTGGCGAGCATGAGCACAAGCACGAGTAATGTGTACGCACCTTAAGAGAGCAAGCTTGTATACATATACATGTACTTAGAAATGTTTGCTGAAGCTATCAATGAGTAAGAGAATCCAAGGACAGGAATGGGAGATTCAGTGAATTTTGTAGTTAGTTTCACTAAAAGTTTCACACAGTCTATGAGTGACTATTGTTCTGGTTGCCACTGTGCCTCTATCACAACCAGCATCATGTGTTTAAGTGTTTACAGTTATGGTTACCGCATGTGCCTGCATAATTTCTCCCAGTGTGTGATGTACATTTCCCTAATTTTCAATATGAATAACTATACTTCNAAACCCAGAAGACTGCTTTCTTCATAGTCACCGCCGTGAAAGCCTCAAATCTTACAACTATACTTCTGTTTTTATATAGTCACAGAAGACAGTTAGTGACAGTACTCATACTGTGTACCTTACTGCTACTTAATTTCCTCTCAGCCACCAACAGGTCGGTATGGAATACATAAATTTAAGGATAACTGCTAGTTGCATTCTGTTACATGTGTATTACCTAAGGTGAACAGTGTTGAATCAGTCACTAGTTATTCTAATGTATTAAATTTGTTTGATAACTATGAAACAACATTGAAGGAGAATAAAGTGTTTTAAAATTGAATATATTATTACAAATTAAAAGAATAGTGTTGTTAAAATATCTCTGTCATCTTATGTGTTTAAAAAAGGAGTTATTCCTGGGTTTACAGTTTGTAGCTGACATTGACCTCTTTTTGACCTGCTTTTGATGTTGTTAGCTTGGTCAGAATGGTGCTGTCCCTACTATATCTCTTCCTACCTTCGAATACTAATGTAATTATGTGGGATATATTGATAAGGTGTAATTATTTATGATGGGCACCATTGCAAACTGTGCTTACAGAATTCAGTAATGGAGCTGCATCGATTTTTGTGAGACTCGAGATATTCCGGAAAATGTGGCACAGTTCAGATATTTGAGAAAGACAGTAACCAATCAAAATTTGATTCAGGAGGAAATTAAGAGGAGATTTAATTCAGGTAATGCTTGCTACCATTCAGTTCAGAACCTTTTGTCTTCTCGTCTGCTGTCTAAAAACATAAAAATTAAAATATACAAAACTATAATTTTGTGTGTGGTTCTCTATGGGTGTGAAACTTTGTCTCTGTAATTAAGGGAGGAACACACACTAGGGGTGTTCGAGAACAGGGTGTTGAGGAGAATATTTGGCTGAAGAGAGATGAAGTGGCAGGAGGTTGGAGAAAACTGCATAATGAGGAGCTTCATAACTTGTACTCTTCACCAATTATAGTTAGAAGGTTCAAGTCAGGGAGGGTGAGATGGGCATGGCATGTAACACAAATGGGGAGAAGAGGAATGGTTAGGATATTGGCAAGAAAGCCAAAAGGAAATAGACTGCTAGCAAGACCAAGATACAGGTGGTTGGATAATATTAAAATGGAGCTTAGGAAGACAGGATGGGGTGGTATGGACTGGATTGATCTGGCTCAGGATACAAACCAGTGGACGGCTCTCGTGAACATGGTAAAGAACTTTCAAATTCCATAAAATTTGGGGATATTGTTGAGTAGCTGCACAACTGTCCATTTTCTTTAGCTTAGGTCTCCAAAAATACTTCCAGGTCTGAGGACCTTTGTGACATTTTGTAACACGCTTATTTTTTATGGTAAGGAGTTGTTAGCCCCACACCCAACCTCCAAGCTGGAGGGCCACCCCATGTCAGCTGTCAGCAACTGCTTATTCAGTATATTTGCAACAACACTCAATATATAGAGGCCGTCTCGTCCATCTGCAACCTGAGGATGTGCCATGCTGTGGTGACAAGGGACCCATCTAGCATTAGGTTGTGTATATTTCAGTTCCTATAAAATTAACAAATGTATTCATTTTCTGTAACTTGTGGGGTTAGGTTAGTGGGTTGCCTATACGAGTATTTAGTTCCTACATGCTTAATATTAATTTTCTCTTTATACTTATCTGTGCCAATTAAATAATTTTCCAGGGGAGTAAAGCACAGCCAGCACGTAAGGCTGACAACCTTACCCCCATATTTGAGCCAATTGTCTAGATAATGTGGGACCCTCAACATCTCACAACCCTATGGGCCTTCACGGCCTGTTGCAGGGATAGCTTTACTTTTTACTTTTACTTATCTGTGCTGTCAGTTATGTCCTACAGTTTAAATTTCTGAAGCTGGATACTGTGGCCTGATTACCATATTCAATGATTGTTCCTTTTGTTCATGTGAAGAATAATATTTAATTATTAATTCAGCAAGACTGATTAACCATTTAATATTTTCTGAATCTACAAATCTGCTAAACTGACAAATAAGAAATCAAGGCCAGGTATTGTATACGTATTACATAATATAAAGGACAGAGCAACTGCAATGGTGTGGGTAGGTGCAGTGCCTCAGGAGAAGAAATGTATGGTGACTAGAATCTTTCTATGACTGATGAAACTAGCCACAATTTGTTGCCCATGCCTAACAGTCATTATTCAATGGCAGATATTCATATATCAGAAATAAATTGACCCAAGAATTCACTGAAAGTAAATAGTAAGTAATAAAAGTTTTATAGAAGGAAGGGACTGTTCAATAATAGTAATTTGAAATTGATTATCTGAAGATGCAGAGTTTACAGATATGCCAAAGTCTGCCCTTGATGATGCAACATCCAGTACACACAGCCACTGATGCATATGTTAATAGTGTCAAGGTCTGTATTGAGAGGATACACAGATATGATGCATATAAATTGTCTGATAAAGATGGAATGTCCTAACATCTGAGGGACTAATCATTCTTGTATTCAAAAAGTAATCTCATGAGAATCAAAAGAATTGAACATGAACAGGAAAAATTTTTGGTAAATTGTGTGTTAAACACAGAAAAAGGGAAGTGGCCTTATTTGAAGAATAATGACTTGTGATGAAAATGAAATTGGCAAGATATAACAATTCTCTAAAGATTCATGAAAATTCATATGAGATTTTTAGGTTCTCACATAGGTGAATGTTAAAACTACCATCTTCTGTGATTTAACATTATGTAGGCCTAGTCTGCTGGACGGTTACCTACATTTCACCCGACTTACTTACTTACTCATGAAGCTGAGCCCTTCTGGAGGAGCCGCCAATCCTGCAACTACTCAAGAATTTCCCAGCATTTTATGGAACCCGAAGGTTCATTACCATGTTCACAAGAGCCCTCCACTGGTCCCTATCCTGTGCCACATCAATCCAATCCATGCCATCCCATCCTATCTCTCTAAGATCAATTTTAATATTGTTCACCCACCTATGCCTTGGTCTTCCCAGTGGTCTCTTTCCTTCTGGTTTTCCCACCAATATCCTATATGCATTCCTCGTCTTCCCCACTCGTGCTACATGCCCTGCCCACCTCATCCTAACTTGACTTGATCATTCTAATTATGTCACATTTCACCCAAACAGATTAAATATCATCATATCCCAGAACTCTGCAGTCTGATTTACTTATTATATAAACACACTATTAATAATGTTATATTTTAGCTTCCTGTTGCACTGATTCATGTCCATGATTTATGCTAACCATCTGACACATACACATATCCAGTAGTATAACACACACAGTCATGGGAGCAAGACACAACACAGAGCACAATACACACATGAATGTAGGAAGAGTTCTCCCACAGAGGAGGATTGGCGTGATTCGCGTATTGAGATACGACGTAAGGATGACGAATCCTGAAAAGTTTTAATATTTAAAATTTATTATTATACATGACGAATATATATTTTAGTAATTTTAGTATTAAGACATCAGGGCATGCAATGCAGTAGTTAGACATACATAGAGACGCACCTTAAGATGGCACATTAGTGCTGAAACATGTAATGTAAAAGAGAAGAGTAAGGTGAAAAAGTGTGTGCACTGTAAGACGGTTAGCATAAACCATGGACATATAAACACACTATTTGATACTACCCAATTCCTCAGGTATGTCTGATATACACGACATTTCCAGAACAGAGTGAACTCCTGAAACATCATGGATATACATATATCAGACACTGGGCAGAGCCTAGAGTAATCTTTGTTTGATGGCTGGGTTTTGAAGTAGGACGGACATGGGTTGATGAGAAATAAATACATAACTACTGTCAGAAAATCTGGACACAGACCGGAGGATTCCCAGGTGTCGGAGTTGTGCAATAAAAAGTATCTCTGGTGAAGTCTCTCTGTCAGTCTGTCATTAAAGATACTGCCCATTGTCTGAGTCATATTTAACATATGGAAGACTTTAGGAGATGAATCAGATTCCAAAAGGACATTTACAGGAAACTACTTCAGGCAATGAACAAAGCCCAACATAATATACCTGTAATGGGAAGGGGTCAGGTAACAGGAATGGGGGAAGTTTAGAAATGAGTATGAAGTGTTGGTCAGAAGATGTGAAGCGAAGAGATATTTTGGATGATCTAGGGCAGTGATGAGCAGCCTTTTCTGCGTGAGAGCTAATTTAAAATCTTTAAAACTCCACAAGAGCCTCAAGCCAAGTGATAATAATAAAAGCAATATTTAAAAAAAAAAAATACATTAAGCTTTTAAGGGAAGAAATATATTTAGTAATGCAATGAAAAATATGAACATAACTTTGAAGAAAGTCGTCTTCTGTTGAAAACCTCAAAACTTACATGAACATAACTTTGTTGGGCTTACAGTTTTGCCATCCCTTTGCCACCAAGTTTGCAATATTTGGCATATGTGAGAAGCACAAATTCCAGGCAACTTTTTAAATTTTATTGTGAAGTTGATTTCTAGATTCACTCTTAACCACTCCCATTTCCTAAAAGAAGTGTGAAAAAAGGCATGTGCTTCCGAAAAGGCTTGTCGTTTGCTGTGCATGACCACTAAGCACTGCAAACCCACCAGCAGGTAAGACTAAACAGAGTTTATAACAGTCAAGAAGTCTGATGTGCCAAAATGTAGTTCACATCCATATCACACTGCATATTTATCATCTCCGCTTGAAATTCGACCGGAACATTTTCAGGATTAACTTCAAACAGCATTTGAAGTTAAGTTGACTGTTATCATATTTCCTTTTATCTTGAAAATGGGAACTGAATTTTTGTTGACAAAGCTCAGTTTCTTTCACATGTTTCTTAGCATTGGTCGGCTTTTCCATTCTCAGATGTGACAAATGTGTTAACTGATAGAAGTTACAGTTGTACACAGTCGAAGCTTCCTTCTGAATCCTGTTATTTCATTCACAGGGTATTCGCTTCATATATGTTGATGTTCAGTTCATGTGAAGATGCTCATTGAAGGGCACATCTTCCAACAGTACACTTAAGTGCTTTCAAATAACATCGAGGTAACTGTGGCCACCAATGACTGCTGGTAAAATGTGAGGGTCTATGAGTCATTCACTTAAAACATAAGCCCACAGGTTGATGCAGAAACTGTAGTTGCTGATGGTGATATTGAATTGCATAATGGCTTTTGCCTGATCACACATGTTCCTTGTAAATGTTCATGATCCCAGTCCTGGTGGAGCATGATTTGTCCATGAATAAAAACATTTGTTGTAAACACAAGGATCTTCGTATGACTGTTGCAAAATATTTGCACAGAATGCACGTCCTGCAGTTGCATCGTGTGATACTAACTATTGCACAAACTAAATTCAGGAAATTTCGAGGAAAAATTTCAAAGTGCAATTAATGGACATAAGAAAGTAGAACTTCATGACTGTCATACTTCCTATGGAGACCAAAGAAGCTTGCAAAATTGTATTAGATTTGGAGATCGTCACGAAAATGTTGCCCCAAAACAATGTTGATTTTATATGGGATGACCCTACAGTACCTTAATCACAAACGCTTTCTTCAGAATTTGCTAGTTCATTATTTGCCCATCATTCAACGATGTAGTGTTTGTGCTACTGACAGTGGCTTTGAAGTAAAGTTGTCCCTGTGCTTATCTAATTAAGCACTACACCATGAAGATGTATGGGGGAGGAGATGATAGATGTTAAGATCCACATTTTCTTGACCTTGGCACTAGTTGGAGATGAGTGGTCAGGTTTACTCCCCGGCCGCTTTACCCACGGGGAAAGAGCCGCCGGTACCCATTGAATAGAAGGTTGAGTAGACCCCAGAACCGGTCTGGACGCTGTGAAGAAGAGAAAATTCTTGACCCTACCGGGACTCGAACTCGAACTCCTCGGTCTTGCGGCTCATAGCAAATCGCTATACTGACTACGCTACCCCGGCTCCCAGCTGCTTTAAGTAAAAAAAAAAAATAAACTCCGTGACCTGTACTCCGCAAGCGAACTATACCGACCGAGCGACCGCCGCTTCTCGGCGAAGTTAGTGCCAACTTTAGCGGATAGAGGGTGTCGCGTGGTCAGCGCAGCGGATTTCCACGGCCGTTAATCTCTGTTTTCTAAACCGGAGCCGCTATTTCCTTGAAGTAGGTCCTCAGTTATCCTCACGAGGCTGAGTGGACCCCGTTCCAGACCCACTACTTTTCAGAAAATCTGGTAGCGTCGGGAATCGAACCCGGACCTCTGGATCTGTAGCCAGGAACTCTGACCACTAGNATAGCAAATCGCTATACTGACTACGCTACCCCGGCTCCCAGCTGCTTTAAGTAAAAAAAAAAACAACTAAACTCCGTGACCTGTACNAAAGTTGGAATCGTAAAGACACTACGAGATATTGTAGACTACTTAAAACCTTCGCTTTTGTTTTCTTATAATAAAGTACACCGACATACAGAAATTCATTATTTATTACATAAAGTTATAATTAATACTTATAACTAAGTTAACGATTGGTTTCATATTCTATAGATGCTCTTTGCGTGCGTGCGTGCGTGCGTGCGCGCGCGCGCGCGCGCGCGCGCCAGCGCGTCTCCCCAAAGAAATGTAACTAACATTGTTAACATTTCAGGCCTGATATCCAAAAATTGATTCTTCTTAAGTCATTAAGACACATTAAACAAAACACTGAATGAGCCCCATTCGACTTTAAGAAACGCGTTTGTGGATATAACAAACGAAAACCCGTAAATACGTGCACTATAGACTTCAGGAATTCCACTTCCTTCAAAGTCTCGATTTTTTTATTTATTTGATTAATTTCCTCTCTGTTAAGGGACCGTGTTATTAATAACATTCCGAATATCTCAGCAGCGTGCATTGTATTGTTTGACAAGCAGTGACTTTCCCATCCCTGAACAATCCCACTACAAACGAATACAAAGTGTATTTTACAGTTTCACGTATCAACAAACACATACACAAACAGAAATTACAAGTTTGTCTGTAGGATTTAAGGTACTCACAGTGGTGCTTATGAAGCGTTCTGTCTTCAGAAATGTAATCCCATTTTGTCCGTTGAAATTCAACCGAATTTTCGGAGAAAATGTAGCCTCCATATTCAGGACATTAGTTTAAAATCACAACATGTAACTGATAGAACTCAGGAATCATAAACACATGATTAAAGAAATTCACACGCAATGCACAAAGTATGTTACACAGGATTCATTCACACGCAATGCACAAAGTATGTTACACAGGATTCACCCCATTTTAAGCACTCCAATAAAAAAAAATTAAAATTTTGACACTCTACACTCTAAGCTCCTGACAATGTCGTTAAATAATCCATAAAGATATTCGACTAAAATTCAAACGCAACGAAACAGCAGCCATTCACTACCGATACGAACGCACGAGAAGTAGCGGGATACTGCTGTCATATTACGCTGCTTATGACGATGAATGATGGGTAATTGGAGAAAACCAATTGAGAGAAGAGATTTGATTGGTTGATTTCTCATACAAAGCTAGTTTGACGATACACCACCAACCTGTCGACGCGGTCGACGCTGTCTGTAGGGGACATGATCCGCGGTGGAAGAGGTAATGTCGGAAGAGAAGGCCATGTGTTTAGGTTATGTTCAGTTGCGACAAGCAATTTCACAGCCTATATTTATGAGGACAGAATAAATTAAAAAAGTGTTTCTTTTTATAGACATTTCGTTCACACGTAAAGGAATATTCTTCATTTAAGAGTTTATTGTAGCCATACAACGGGGGCAGGCGGTAGCGTAGTTGGTTGAGGCACTATGCTACAAGCCGGAAGGTAGCGGGATCGAATCCCGATGAGGTCATTGGATTTTTTCAATTGACCTAATCCTTCCAGCTGCACTATGGCCCTGGGGTCGACTCAACCTCTAACAGAAATGAGTTGAAAGTTGGTTAACTCGCTCGCGTGTACTCGGAAAACCCATAATGATGGAGTCGAATGGGACACGTAAGTTTCTGCCGCTGCTGAAGACAATGTATCGTCATAGCCCCAAGAAATAAATGTAATAAAATCCATTGGAAGCTAGTAAGGACACTGGTCTTCAAACAACGTTTCATGTCCCAGTAACAGACTGCAAGACAGATTCAAAAGATGAGGACTAGTAATAAATTTTCAGAAATGTGAGGAAGTTCAAACATCTGTGACGAATAATGGATTAAAATAATAGTCTTGATTAAGTCAAGGGCAGATTAACTTTAATTAAGGCTCTCTACTATGCAGTACAGTTCGGAATATTTTATTTTCCATTGTCCAATCTAAGAACCTCAAGATTATAATAATAACTAAATTTCTTGAGAAGCTAAGAGTTCCCTAGCCATTCAAGATTCTTTTTCCTTTGTACGTAAACCAAGGGTTCATTATCATGTCCACACGACCACGCCACTGGTCCCTGTCCTGAGCCACATGAGCCTGGTCCACATCGTAATATCTCGTTTTAATATTATCCTCATCAGTCACGCATATCCTATGTGAATGTGAGGCCATAGCTTACTTAAAATTTCGTCACGGGGGCCATTTCTTCATGGAACCTAGTGACTTTTATGAAGCCCACATAAATAAAGTCCTACATTTCATTCGAAGTGTAGGATCAATGAAGGGTTAATCCAAAGAGGAAGAACAATAGATCATTGAAGGTCGCAGTACGAGGGCCAGATTTTATGGTCCACCCCTTACACACACACATACACACATCTATGCCTAAATAAGATTTAAAAAATGAACATATTTGAAACTCAGGTAAAATGTACGTCATTGCACTCAGTATCTCGATTATGCGTATAACAGTAAAGATCTTCCTAATACGCAACAGTGTAAGATGTAAGCTTGTTTGTAATTAATATTACAGCATGGCGACCGTTCAAATTTGTTCCAGATTCTGTTGATGTCAACATTATTATCTAAGTTTATCAAGACTGAAGAAAAAGAGAAAAATTGTAATCTGTTGTCGCTCGTAGTCCTACACGCCGTTTAGCTTTTAGAGATCGAATTTCTACGTACAAACTGTCGTGTTGCCCGCTTTTAGTGACAATATGTTCCTAGCTTTGGCTACCACAAGATAGTGGCCAGTATCTCAGCCATACTTCGGGCATCAAGTATATATATATATATATATATATACACGAGGGTCTAGTGGTCAGCGTTTCTGGCTACAGATCCAGAGGTCCGGGTTCGATTCCCG